GAAAACAAAGTAAATTTAAATTACCTTTACTAGTGATTAATGAGACTAAATATTTGAAATCTGGTTAGATTTTCGTAAGGAACAAACGAAGGTCTCCTCTTTCGGTGATATTCAGACGATTTCACTTACAGACACACAAATTATTAATATTAAATGTCCACCCAGCCTCCCTACCTGGAGAGCTGATGTGGATCTGTCCCTGGGGTCCAATGGGGCTTCACTTTGGTGGGCGGCAGAGTTCTAATCCGAGGCGGTGAAACCTCTCTGCTCCAGCGCGGGCTGTCTACTGATGCCAGGAGCCGGAATATGACGTCATATTCCTCTCCCGCGGCATCAGCAAACATCGCGCGATGGAGCAGAACAGAGAGGTTAGAGCTCCCTCACTGCCTCGGATTAGAACTCTGCTGTGCCGGGAGGTCCACAAGGTGGCCTGGCAGGAGGGAGCGCTTCCTTCCTGCCGGTCACTGAAATCTTGCCCCCTTTAAGCCGCTCCCGCCCGCCCTACCACTCTAAAAAGGAGAAATCCTCTCAAAAAGAGGATTTAGCCGCCAAAATCCCTACCGCCCACCTGGAATCCTGAAATGCCCACTAGTGGGCGGTAGGGACCAGGTTGACTACCCATGGTCTAAATTAATGACATGAAGAATAAGAAATGGGAACAATAATTCTATCTAGTGCTTAAAGATGTAATTCGTATCCCATTCCACATTGAGACCAAGTGGGAATTTTGTTTGTAAATTAAGTATCCAAAACATATATCTTTTTTTAAAAGGACACTCCAGTGCCAGGAAAACAATCCGTTTTCCTGGCACTGCAGGTCCCCTCTCCCTCCCACCCCCCCATCCCATGTTGCTGAAGGGTTGAAAACTAGAGTTGAGTGGACACCTGGATGTTCGGGTCCGGCTGGTTCGGCCGAAATTTGAAAAAAGTCCGGGTTCGTGCTCGAACTTGACCCCGAACCCCATTGAAGTCAATGGGGACCTGAACTTTTGGCCACAAAAATGCCTCTAAAAAACTCCTGGAAAGGGCTAGAGAGCTGCAAAAGGAAGTAAAATGGGGCTAAGAGTAGGACAAGTGCCCTGCAAACAAATGTGGATAGGGAAATCACTAAAAATAACATAAAAATTAAAAATACAGCTGAGCCATAAAATAGCACTAGATGGAATCTTTGATTTTAGCTTTGGAAGAACATAAAGCAAAATCTAAAGCATGGCTGCCAGGAGGATCACCAGAATTATCCATTTGAGTGAGGGTTGGAGTGCAGGGTATTCTCTTTCATTGTTCAAACTGAGCTCAACTCCTGATGCATGGAGAAAAGGCCTAATGTGTACCTAGTTTACCGTGGCGGTGTAGGTGGAAGCAGTGGTGGTGGAGGAGGAGGTGGTAGCCAACACTGTTTTTTATTTATTTTTTTGTTTTTTTTAAAACTGGGGTAGCCCCCAAAATATTGGGACATATAAAAAAAAAAAGAAACAATTTGCGGCCTGCGGTGCATTTCTTGCAGTCCTGATGCATGGAGAAATGCTCAACTCTTGATGCATGGAGAAAAGGCCTTCACAAGCCTCTGCTTATGTGTACCTAGTTTATACTAAGTGACCCATAGGCTGAGGAGGCGGTGACCGTGGCGGTGTAGGTGGAAGCAGCGGTGGAGGAGGAGGAGGAGGTGGTAGCCAACACTGGTTTTTATTTTTAATTTTTTTAATTTTTTTGGGATAGCCCCCAAAATATTGGGACATAAAAAAAAAGAAACAATTTGCGGCCTGCGGTCCATTTCTTGCAGTCCTGATGCATGGAGAAATGCTCAACTCCTGATGCATGGAGAAAAGGCCTTCACAAGCCTCTGCTAATGTGTACCTAGTTTATACTAAGTGACCCATAGGTTGAGGAGGCGGTGACCGTGGCGGTGTAGGTGGAAGTAGCGGTGGTGGAGGAGGAGGTGGTAGCCAACACGTTTTTTTTTTATTTTTTAAATTTTTTTTTTTTTTTTTTAATTGGGGTAGCCCCCAAAATATTGAGACATATAAAAAAAGAAAACAAAGAATAAGTGCACTTGAGTATAAAAATGGCTGGGTGAGGCCGGTATAAATGTCTATTCTGCACAAGGTACAGACTAGTCTGGTGGGATCCATGCCTGGTTCATTTTAATAAACGTGAGCTTGTCCACGTTGGCTGTGGACAGGCGGCTACGCTTGTCTGTGATAACGCCCCCTGCCATGCTAAACACATGTTCAGACAATACACTGGCTGCAGGGCAGGCCAGCACCTCCAAGGCATAAAGGGCAAGCTCAGGCCATGTGCCCAATATGGAAACCCAGAAGTTGAATGGGGCTGACCCATCAGTCAGTACGTGTAGGCGTGTGCACACATACTGTTCCACCATGTTGCTGAAATGCTGCCTCCTGCTAAGATGTTCCATATCAGATGGTGGTGCTGGTTGTTGTGGCGTGCTGACAAAGCTTTTCCACATTTCGACCATGCTAACCCTGCCTTCTGAGGTGCTGGCGGTGCCCCAGCTGCGTTGGCGACCTCTTCCTCCTCCTCTGCCTTTGCCTTGTGCTTCCACTGAGTCCCCTGTGTCAGTTGGGAATGCCCTCAGCAGCACGTCTATCAGCGAGCGCTTGTAGTCGTGCATCTTCCGATCACGCTCCAGTGAAGGAATTAAGGACGGCATGTTGTCCTTGTAACGGGGATCCAGAACAAGTTAGAATGTGGGCAACTCGGCAGTCGTTGCGCAGGCACTGCAGCATGTAGTCACTCATGTGTGCCAGGCTGCCCAGAGGCAAGGACAAGCTGTCCTCTGTGGGAGGTGTATCGTCTGTGTCCTCCGTATCCCCCAAGCCACGCTCCAGTGATGCCCACGAGCTGCGTTGGGTGCCACCCTGCTGTGAACACGGTTCCTCCTCCTCCTCATCATCATCCTCCTCCTCGTCCTCCAGAACTGTACCTGGCCCATACTGGTGCAGGAACCCACCCTCCAAGCCACTTGTGAATGACTGGCCTGATAACCGTAGAAATTACCCCTTCTCCTCCTCCTCTTGTGCCACATCCTCTTCCATCATTGCCCGCAGCGTTGTTTCAAGGAGACATAGAAGCGGGATTGTAAGGCTGAGAACGGCGTCATCGGAACTGGCCATGTTGGTGGAGTACTCGAAACAGTGCAAAATGGCACACAGGTCTTGCATGGAGGCCCACTCATTGGTGGTGAAGTGGTGCTGTTCCGCAGAGTGACTGACCCGTGAGTGCTGCATCTGAAACTCCACTATCGCCTGCTGCTGCTCGCACAGTTTCTCTAGCATGTGCAAGGTGGAGTTCCACCTTGTGGGCACGTCGCATGTGAACGGGAAGGCCAAAGTTATGCTGCAGCACAGACAGGCGAGCAGCAGCAGGGTGAGAATGCAGAAAGCGCGCACAGACGGCCCGCACTTTCTGCAGCAGCTCTGACATATCTGGGTAGTTTTTCAAGAATTTCTGCACCACCAAATTCAGCACATGCGCCAGGCAAGGGATGTGCGTCAAACTAGGCCCAGAGCTGCTACGAGATTTCGCCCATTATTGCACTCCACCAGGCCGGGCTTGAGGCTCAGTGGCAACAACCACTCATCAGTCTGTTGTTCCATGCCCATCCACAGCTCCTGCGCGGTGTGGGGTTTTTCCCCCAAACATATGAGTTTTAAAACAGCCTGCTGTCATTTCCCCCTGGCTGTGCTGAAGTTGGTGGTGAAGGTGTTATGCTGCCCGGATGAGGTGGAGGTAGAGGAGGAGGAAGCGGAATAGTAGGACGGGGGGGACAGGAGGCAAAGAGAAATGCCCTGCAATCCACGGTGGCGGAAGGACATGCGCCAAACTGCTATTCGCATCAGGCCCAGCCGCCACTACATTTGCCCAGTGTGCAGTTAGGGAGATAAAGCTGTGGTTATGTGGACCTTGCCACTGATGGAGTTGCACAGTGCACACCTGATTTTGTCCGCCAATTGGTAGTGCAGGGTGAGGGATGGCTCGCCTGGAGAAGTAGTGGCGGCTGGGAACCACATACTGTGGGCCAGCCACCGCCATAAGGTTTTTAAAACTGTCCGTCTCCACCTGACGGAATGACAGCATTTCAAAGGCCTCAAATTTTGAAATGCTGGCATTCAGGGCCAGGGATCCGGGTGGGTAGGGGCATACTTCCGCTTTCATGAGGTAGGTGTTTCACTTGTGCGTGTAGCTGGCACAGATCGACCATGTCCTCTCCTTGCAACAGGGATTCCACCAACACCAGAAGTACCACGACCAAGGCCACATCCCTTATTTGACGCTCTCCTCATTCTTTGCGTTCACCCACCAAACTAACAGATGTTTTATGTCAGGCGACAATGTAACCGCCTACAGCCAACAATTTTTTTTTTTAGTTTATCGGACTGCAAGAAATGCACCGCAGGCCGCAAATGTACTATTTAGCACAGAAAAAATGGGAATGTTTACCACTGCGCTGTAAGCACACTATTAGACGCTTCTATTTGACTCTCAGATATGACGTGCACGGCCCAAAATGTACTATTTAGCAGATTAGCACCCAGAAAATTAGAATTTTTACAAGTGCGATGTAAGCACACTATTAGACGCTTCTATTTGACTCTCAGATATGAAGAGCAGGCCACAAAATGTACTATTTAGCAGATTAGCACCTAAAAAATAAGAATGTTTACCACTGCGCTGTAAGCACGCTATTAGATGCTTCTATTTGACTCTCAGATATGAAGTGCAGTCTGCAAATGTACTATTTAGCAGATTAGCACCCAGAAAATAAGAATGTTTACCACTGCGCTGTAACCGCAGTATTTGACGCTTCTATTTGACTCTCAGATATGAAGAGCAGGCCACAAAATGTACTATTTAGCAGATTAGCACCCAGAAAATAAGAGTGTTTACCACTGCGCTGTAAGCACACTATTAGACGCCTCTATTTGACTCTCAGATATGAAGTGCTCCCCACTAAAATACTATTTAGCAGTTTAGGACCAAAAAATTTTTAAGTTTTAAAACTGCAATGTGAGAGCAGTATTTGACGCTTCTGTTTGACTCTCAGATATGAAGTGCACCCCACTAATGTACTACCCCACTAATGTACTATTTAGCACCCAAAAAAATTTACTTTTTAAAACTCCAATGTAACTGCGGTATTTGAAGCTTCTATTTGACTCTCAGATATGAAGTGCACCCCACCCCACTAATGTACTAGTTTGCAGAATTCTTTCCTAAGCTGTCCCTATCAGCGGCAGCATCCTCTCCCTACACTAATAAGACCACATGTGCGTGCGGCACTACGCGACTCCAGCTTATATATAGAGGCTTGGTCACATGCTGCACTGGCCAATCACAGCCATGCCATTAGTAGGCATGGCTGTGATGGCTTCTAAGGGCACACGGGTCAAATGCTTGTTGGTTGGCTGCCCTGCAGCCTTTGAAAACGCGCCATTAAATCGCCGAACACCGAACTCCAACCCGAACATACAGTGATATGTCCATGTTCGCTCAACTCTAGTGAAAACCCCTTCAGTGACTTACCTGAGACCACCATCGATGTCCCTCGGTGGTGGTTTAGGGTTCGCCCACGCTCCTCCCCCCTTCTTAGAATATGGGAAATCTTCCCTATTTTTGTACAGAATATAGTAATCAATTTAAATCTATTACCCGCATCAAACACAAACATTTACCTGTTTTAAGATCAGATCCATTTTATAGAAAGCTCTGTGATACAAAGTTTCAAAGCTCAGCTGGAAGAGCTGAGCGAATTCGTAAATATTTATTAGTTCCAAGACTTTTTCTATTTATGTCCATCATAAAACAGAAACCTGGCTTACTTGCAAAGGTATGTTTAAATGTAGTCAAAAGAGATGTAACTATTGTGTTTTAACTAATAAAACCACACACTTCATCTCCTCTGTCACTAAAACTGAATATGAAATTAGGGATTTCATCAATTGTTCCACGGAAGGAGTGATATACCTGAACATTTGCAAAAACTGCAATAAACAGTATGTAGGGCAAACTAAACGAAAGCTAAAGATTAGAATAGCATAAAATATCCAGAATGTTAAACATGATACAATTAAACAAACATCAGTATCGAGGCATTTTAAAACAAGTACCGGGGATCATATGTCAAAGTTCTCATTTCAGGGAATACAGAAATGTCTTTTAGGCCCAAGAAGGGGCAGTATAGAAAAAAATCGTACCTAAAGGGACACTCCAGGCACCCAGACCACTTCTGCCCATTGGAGTGGTCTGGGTGCCAACTCCCACTACCCTTAACCCTGCAAGTGTAGTTATTGCAGTTTTTTCATAAATTGCAATAATTACATTGCAGGGTTAACTCCACCTCTAGTGGCTGTCTAGTAGACAGCCACTAGAGGGCACTTCCTGGTTCATAGCACAGGTTTTTTGTGCTATAGCGTCGCTGGACGTCCTCACGCTATGTGAGGACCTCCAGCGTCGCTAAAATCCCCATAGGAAAGCATCGAAAGCATTTGCATGCACATTAGGTCTCCCCCGCCGGCAGCTGCACATGCGCAGTCGATGACCTAATGTGCATGCAAATGCTTTCAGTGCTTTCCTATGGGGATTTTAGTGACGAGGAGTTAACCCTGCAAGGTAATTATTGCAGTTTATAAAAACTGCAATAATTACAGTTGCAGGGT